GATTATTTCATAATGTATGCAAATACCAAATCATTATGTAATATACCTGAAGCTTAACATAATATCAATTATATTTCAATAATAAAAAATGAGTGCTTCAGAAATTTTTTTGAGGGACTTCCCTTGGTGGTTCCGTGGGTAAGACTCCAAGCTCCCAATCCCTGGTCAGGTAACGAGATCCCACATACTGCAACTAAAGATCTCATGTGCCACAACTAAGACCTGGTACAGCCAACTTTTTTTTATTAAAAAAAAAAAAGATGTAACTGCTTAAAGCAATGGAGAATGGCAGAAGTGAGATTATGTGACTTCCAAAGTTACGTGTGGAAGCATCTTTGTGGCATATTGTATTTTCCAAATATAGCACAATATATCTTATCCTACAAGCTCTTTTTACTTTCTGATACTTGAGTTAAAACTGCCTCAACCAAAGGAGTACGACACAATGATGTTATATGATTTCTGAGGTTAGATAATAATAATAGTTTGCACTTCCACCTTCTTTGGGATACACTCTTGGAACTCAAGTCACAGGTTAGGCAGCCACATAAAGACATCACATGTAGGTACTGTGGCCAACTATCCTGTGGTCCAGCTGACAGCCAGAATCAAATGCCAGGCATGTGAGCGAGTGAGTCTTTTGGTGATTCTAGCCTTTAGCCATCAGATGACTCCTAGCTTTCAAGTCACTCCACTTGAGATGTCACTGCCAAGTCTTGTCCACAAATTTTTGTAGATGTGTGAGTTAAATGTTTTCTAAGCCAAGTTTGGGGCAGTTGTTAACGCAGCAACAGAAAATTTGAAGAATTGCCAAAATAAGTGAAAAAGCAAAGCACATTTTAAAAAAAAGAATGTATGTGATAGTTTATATATTTTAAAAAGCAAATGAAAGACCACACGAGGTATAGATGTATATATTGTGTGTATATATATATATATGTATTTTGTATGTATATTGTATATATATATATACAATATATACATCTATATGTGTGTGTGTATATATATATAGTATATATATACAATATATGTATATATGTATATACAATGTATGTATATATTGTTTTCTTACATAGTTTCCTATGAACAATTTACATAAATGGGTAATTTCCTGATGGGTTTGTATCATAGTCTAAGGACTGTTTGGGGGGTTTGAGTCAGACTGTGGCAGGCTAGGACTGGGTTTCATTAGCAGAACAATTTCAAAAACAGTAAGCTTTCAAACTACTTGCTACTGTTTAATGGCAATTCCAAAGATCTTGTGTAAACATAGTTTTAAGCTTTATGATTCTTTTTACTAGCCCCTTTGCCTTTTAATGTTCCTAATTATACAGTACATTAAGAATCTCATTTTAGTGACTATTTCATCTCTCTCTTCTTTTAAACCCCAAACTTATCTCTCATATTTCCAGCTAACCTTGCTTACCACTTCATGAATGCACTGAAGGGAGCAGAACAACACTTCTGAAGACTTCTACATCATTTACTCACTTCTCGCCATCTGCACTCCATATTCTGCCATTTTATTGCCAGGAGTAAGTCTCCCATGGTATCACCTAAATTAATCCTTCCATCCTCTAATCTTATTCCCTCTCACCTACACAAGGTCTTTGCTCCAGTTGTCTTTCTTCTTTGTCTTAAATCATCCACCCTTGCCCCTTACTGGATTATTCCAATCAGCATACAGAGTTGCTTAGTTCTCCCATCCTGAAAACAAAACACTCCCATTCCCACTGCTACACTAATTATTAACTAATTATTGTTTTCTTTTGCAGCACACCTCCAGTTATCTCTATACTCACTGTCTCCAATTTCTATTCTCTTATCAGGCTTTCATTTCACTCCAAAACCGAGACATCAGAAATAACCCTGCTCTTTTCAAGGTCAACAGTAACATCAATATTGCTAAATCCAATAGCCAATTCTCAAGCCTTACACAATTATGTAACTTGCCAAAGGTATCTGTATCCCTGATTATCCTTTCTTTGACTCAGTTTCATTTGGTTTCTGTAATGTCAGTCTGTTTTCCTTCCATCTCACTGGTCTTCCTTAGCATCTTTTATTGGTCTGTGCTTTTACCCATGAACTCTTAATGTTGGAACACACTGTGGATCAGTCTTTGCTATTCTTTCATTTACATGTAGGTCCTTAATAATCTTAACCTGCCTCCTTAATTTAAATAAAGATAGGCAATGACTACTAAATTAATATAATCTCTAGACTAGTACAAGCTAGACTATCCAATTGGTTACTCAATAAAACTGATGGAACTGTAGCTTTCCGCATCTCAGCAGATGGGAACATATATTGCCAGTTGCTTGGAACCAAAACCTTTGAGGTAATGTCACCTTGGACTTTTCTCTTCCTCTCACAACTGACATCATTTCCCTAAACAGATTTTGCCTGCTCCATCATATTTAACATGTATCTATAATCCAATCACTTCTCACCATTGTTATCATTCTGGTCTGAGCCACCATCATTTATGTGAATTAATACCATAGCCTCGTACCCAATTTTTTTTAACACAAGAGCAGCATGTCAAATTATGTCCTCTATTCAAAACTCTCCAAGGGCTGCCCATTTCCCTCAGAATAAAATCCAAAATGCTTACAATGACTTACAAGATATGGCCCTGTTATCTGACCTCCTCTATCAATCAACCCTTTACACAGACCTTTACTATAGCTTCCCCCATATTCCTCAAATATACCAGCAGAGTTCCACTGTGAGGCCTTTGCTCTAACTTTTTCTGTCTAGTATGCTCTTCCCTTAGATAACCACAGACTTACACCCTCACACCTTCAAATCTTGACTCAGATCTTTCCTTCTCCATGGTCTACTCTGGTCATTCTGATTCATACAGCAAGAAATATTATCATATTCCTCCCAACTCCTTTTTAAAGACCCCCCAATACCATTTATGTTCTAACATACTCTACAACTTATTATTCCATCTCTTTCTGCTAGAATTCTCATTAATATATCCTAAACACCTATGATAGTAGCTGGAATGTAGTAAATATGACTAATTTTAAAATGACATGCTTGGGTGGAGAAAACATTTTAAGGTCTTTGCAAGGAGACTCAGTGTCCTTACATGGATGGGGCAAATGGTCTCATTTTTTTGTTCAGACTCTACTGAAGACCACTCTAAAGTGGCTTCAGTTAGGAGTAGAGAATAAATTTTGTTATTTTGAATCCCACAAGTTACAAAATTAAGAAGTTACCATTAACCTGGATTGAGCACCTGCAGGCCTGAGACAGCATCTCTTAATAAAGCAATATTGCTTTCAATCTCTGCTAGCAGGCTCTCTCTAGCTAATTCTACACAGGATCTCTTACACAGGATATTACTGAAAGAAAGCAGCAAAAAAATACCCAACACACACACTCTGAGTCACTCCTACCATTTCCTCTAACATTAAAGCCTTAATTGGTACAAGACCTTTCTTGTAAGATGGTAAAGAGACTGCTCATTTCAGTTCTCTAGCCAGAATTGAGCATATATCCTCATTCCCCATCACCCTAAGTTAATGCCATATTTGAGATTCCTTTTGCCCACAGCATTCCACTTTCAGGTACAAACTTTTATATCCATTGTAATTTTTAGTGTCAATAACAAAATGACAACAGCATCAACAAACAAGTTTAATTTTATATAGAGAAATACAGAAGGCAGGCAGACCCAAAATGGTATGGCTGTTCCATAAAATCAACATAAGTGCAGACATGTTCTGTAATCCTGCTCCATCATCCTTAATACTCAGATACCATTCTCAAAGTTCCTACAGAATTGCCAGAGCTGCAGATTTAAATATCCACATTGTAGGCAGTGAAACAAAAAAGTGCAAAAGAGTAAATTATTTCTTAAATGTCCTATTCATACAAACACTTCTTCCAGCTTATAGATCTGCAAGGGAGGCTGAGAAAGTTTTTCAGCCAAGAATTCTATTACTGAAGAAAAAAGAATGAATTTGGGTAGGGAAATAGTCTCTGATACAGACACATCATTTTTCATTGCAAAATAGCCTATCAGTTTTTTTAGTTTAATTCAAAAGCTATGCATTCAAATTTTAAAAAATTTCTTAGTAGAAAGATTTATTTTGGCTATCCATTTTTTTTTTTTTTTCCCTTTCTAAGTAACACTCTTACTTAGTGGTCAGAGATGGCAGAAAATATGAGCTTTTGGACTTTGTTACAATTCAAATCTCTTCAATGATTCACTGATTAAACCTACAGAGTTCTTTTTTACATTATGAATTTCCTCTTATAGCATATGGGACAAGATGTAAATGAAAGCATTCTTGTATTCATTACAGCATACAGTGCCCTACTCTCAAATAATCAAGGTTCAGTGCTAATGAAAGATTTCTCAATATTCATTATACTAATAAATGTCTTCTCGTGCAAATTATCTAAAATAACACGAGTAATATAATGATAGCTAATATTTATAAGATGCTATGTTGAAGGCACTGGTCTAAGAACCTTACATTTAATAACTTATATAATACTTCTGGGAATCTTATAAGGAAGGTATTCTTCTTAGGTCTATCTGATAACTGAGTAAACCAAAGCAGCAGTTAATTATCATGTTAAACATCACAAAGAAAAGCAACTGAAAGAGTCAAGATAATTTTGAAAAAGACATATGTCTATGGCTAAAAGTCTTCCTATATTTACATGAACAGAATTATTGTCTATTATAATTTGTTAAAGTTGAATAGGTTTCCAGTCATGACACGTTTTTCTACATTGATTACATTATCTCTCCCCCATACAAATTCACTGATTCTGAATTTTATGAAGCAAATGTGTTTACATGTTCACATTTTAAGAATTCTTGATGATAATGAATTAATGACCAGCGAAGGCTCTCTATATTAATTACAAGCATCAGGTAATTCATATATAAACTTGTGAGCCATGACTGAAGTCTATCCCACATTCCTTATATTCAAAAGATTTCTCACTGATATGAATTCTTTGATGTTGAGTTAGTTGTGAACCACGAGTAAAGGCCTTCCCACATTCCCGACACTGATATGGTTTCTCACCAGTATGAACTCTCTGATGTCGAGAAAGATGTGAGCTTTGAGTAAAAGCTTTTCTACACTCTTTACATTCATAGGGTTTCTCACCAGTATGGATTCTCTGATGTAGAGTAAGTTGAGAACCGTGACTAAAGGCCTTCCCACATTCCTTGCATCCATAGGGTTTTTCTCCAGTGTGAATTCGCTGATGTTGAGTAAGCTGTGAACCACGAATGAAGGCCTTCCCACATTCCTTGCACTGATATGGTTTCTCACCTGTATGAATTCTCTGGTGCTGTATAAGTAGTAAGCCACGAGCAAAGGCCTTCCCACATTCACTACATACATAGGGTTTCTCACCAGTATGAAGTCTCTGATGCTGAGAAAGATGTGAACTCTGCGTAAAGGCCATTCTACATTCTTTACATTCATAGGGCTTCTCGCCAGTATGAATTCTCTGATGTTGAGTAAGCTGTGAGCCACGAATAAAAGACTTCCCACATTCCTTACACTCATAGGGTTTCTCACCAGTGTGAATTCTCTCATGCTGGGTAAGTTCTGAGCCACGACTAAAGGTCTTTCCACATTCCTTACACTCATAGGGCTTTTCACCAGTGTGAATCCTTTGATGTCGGGTAAGGAGGGAGCCACGATTAAAGGCCTTTCCACATTCCTTACACTGATAGGGTTTCTCACCAGTATGAATTCTCTGATGTTGAGTAAGTTGTGAGCCATGACTAAAGGTCTTTCCACATTCCTTACATTCATACGGCTTCTCATTGGTATGAATTCTCTGATGTTGAGTAAGTTGTGAGCCACGGATAAAGGCCTTCCCACATTCTTCACATTTATAGGGTTTTTCACCAGTATGAATCCTCTGATGTTGCATAAGCAATGAGCCACGAATAAAGGCCTTTCCACACTCCTGACATTCATATGGCTTTTCCCCATTATGTATTTTCTGATGTTGAGAAAGCTGTGAGCCACAAATAAAAGCTTTGCCACATTCCTTACATTCATAGGGTTTTTCACCAGTATGAATTCTCTTATGAAGAATAAGTTGTGAGAGTTGTGTAAAGACCTTCCTACATTCTTTACATTCATAGAGTTTCTCACCAGTATGAAGTCTCTGGTGCAGAGTAAGTTGTGAGTTCTGAGTAAAGGCCTTCCCACATTCTTTACATTCATAAGGTTTCTCCCCAGTATGGACTTTTTGATGTCGGGTGAGTTGTGAGCTTCGAATAAAGGCTTTCCCACATTCTTCACATTTATATGGTTTTTCACCAGTATGAATCCTATGATGTAAAATAAGTTGGGAGCTCTGAGTAAAGGCCTTCCCACATTCTTTGCATGCATAGGGTTTCTCACCAGTATGAAGTCTCTGATGAAGACTGAGCTGTGAATCACGACTAAAAGCCTTCCCACATTGCTTACATTCATAGGGTTTTTCACCAGTATGAATACTCTGATGTTGAGTTAGGTGTGAGGCTCGCCTAAAGGCCTTCCCACATTCCTTACATTTATAGGGTTTCTCAGTAGAATGACACCGGGAATGTTGAGATAAATAAGCATGATGGTTGAAAATAGACATTTTGTCATATATGATCATTCCTTGACTGAAATATTCCTTCTGATTTTCTTGTTGTTTTTCCAATATGCCTTTGACTTCCAAATAATCTCTGGAACTGGAGTTCTCAAGATCACAGTTTTCAAGTCTGGCACTCATTTCCCATTGGGATAATTCTGTTTCATAAATGTCTTTTTTTGGAGATAAGAGCTTGTTTGCCCCCCTTGAGGGCAAGTCTGAAAGGTAAGAGAAAAATTTCGGTTGTCATTTCAAAAGAACTTCCATAGTAGAAAAGACTGTATATGAAAAAATATATATGGAAATAATATCCATAGGAAGTACCTCAGTGTTTTTCAAATATTGTGTATTACTTACCTTTCACATCAGAACCTGATACATATTTAGTTTTATAAAACAATACCTATTCTGTTTTCTATTCTACACTACACTATTTTAGTCATCTTCTTCCTCTCCACTCTACCTTCTCTCACACACAGTCAAAAACCACTAAACTGATTTCATGCCACAGTAATGTGTTGCTGGGGCTTCCCTGGTGACTCAGTGGTAAAGAACCCACCTGCCAATGCAGGAGATGTGGGTCAGGAAGATCCCCTGGAAGTTGAATTAATTACAAATGGCCAATGAGTTCATCAATCATGCCTATTTAATGAAGCCTTCATGAAAGACCCTAACAGAAGGGATTCAGAGAGCTTCTGACTCAGTGAATACACTGAAGTGCTAAAAGAGTGGTATACCTGGAGAGGGTATGGAAGCTCTGCAACTCTTCTCCATACCTTCCCTAAGGTATAAGCCTTACAGTTGGCATCTTTTTTTTTTTTTCCTGTAATGCAAGAGTATGAGTTAAACTTTGATTGTCAAGGCATTCATTTCAAGCATGTCTGGACCAATAAACATGCTGCCAGCCACACAACTAGGTAAAGAGGCAGGCTGAGTCAGGCTGCATCCCCACAGTAAGCTCCTTTGTTTTAGAGACCTTAGTTGATTTCAATAACTGACCATCTGGGCCACTTGTTTTTTATCTTCCCACGCTTTAGACTCCCAATTCCACCTTTTAAATTCACTAATGAATGGGCCTGTGAAATCCTCAACCCCAGTTAAAGCAGAACCCCAGGCTCACACCCATGCCTGTGTATTGGCTGGCTCTCTTTTTCTCTCCTGCATTCTCTCTTCCCTAACAACCTCGCTGTGTGGCCTCAGATGTGCTGTATAATTTCCAGGTCCTGTAAGTAAATAAACTTCTATTTTCTCAAAGTTTTCCTGATACATACTGCTGATACATACTTACTTGCAATCATCATAAGAACTACAAGGGCTGGTCTGGCCACAGTATTGATTATTGATAGGCTGATTCCAACATAAACAGTAAAAACTAAGCATTTCTTTCATTTAGCTGCTCCTGAGTTGTATCCTTTATAATAAACTGCTAAGTGTCAATGTTTCTCTAAGATCTGTGAACCATTCTAGCAAATTATTGAACCTGAGATTTATAGCCACTGAGAAACCCTGATTTATAGCCAGTCAGTCAGAAGTACCTGTGACAACTTGGAACTTGGAATTGTCATCTGAAGTGGTGGTCAATCTTATTGGACTGAGCCCTTAACTTGTGGTGTCTGTACTACTCTGCAGAGTTAGTGTCAGAACTGAGTTAAACTGTAGAATACCCAGTTGGTGTCCACCAAGAACTAGAGAATTGCTTGAATGGGAAAATTCACACATCTAGGATCAAAAGTGTTGTGTAAGTAGAAGGAAACAGTATCTTTCCCCCTTTTAGGACCTAATATAAACAGACAAGAAATAAAGACAGAGTAGACTGGAACATAAGATGGGTAGATGGGTAAAACCGATGACATGTTAACACATTACAATAAAATTAGAAATTATAAAAGCATGCAAAAAATATATAATGTAACTAAGATAGTTCCAATAATGATTATCATAAAAGGAAAATGAAAGAAAACTAAAACCCACAATTTAAAACTAAATACCAAGAGCAACCTTGTGTGAAATCCCATGAGATTCAGCTAACGTACCACAGAAAACTTACAGCCTTAAATCCATTTATTAGAAAACAAGAAATAATTAAAAACAAGAGAATTAAGGTTCAACTCAAGAAAGAGAGAGAGAAATAAAACAATTAACTATCTAAAACTCAATAAACAAGTAAACTAGAATGCATAAAGAATAGAAATGGCTCGCAAAACTACAAGTTAATTATTTGCAAACACCAATACATGATACAAAACTTTGACATGTAGGAAAAAAATCAGATTGGGCACAAATCCAAAACACTGGAAAAGAAAAGACCTTAACTCCCCCAAGTCCAAAGGAATTCAGAAGTGCTTATGACAAAAAAACTATATATAACTCAATAGTAAATTATAAAAGTGATGAAATGGATGAAAATAATTTTTAAAATGACCCATGAAGATAGAAAATCTGAATATACATCAATGACCACATTAGAATTTAAAATTTGAGTTCAATGTCTATGCTCCTAAAAGGCAGTAGATACTGATGACTGACAGTATTACTGGCAAGACTACATGTAACTGTTTTTGACTGTATAAAAATAGAGAAATCTACCCAAGTCATTTTACAAAATTAAATGAACTCAGGTAACAAAACTGGGCAAAGAAAGCTCAGGAAAACCAATCCAATATCACAAACAAACACAGGTAAATTTTCAAAAGTAAAATATTAGCAACAGAGAATCTAGCTGTGTATTTAAGGACTAATACATCATTACATCATTATCAAATAAGGTTTATCCTACAAACGCAGAAATAGTTTAACATCAGAAAATGTATTTTAAGACTGTATTAGAAACTCTGAGACCAAATGGCTCTTCCTTAACCTAATTAAGGGTATTTACCAGAAACCTACACAAACGTATTTAATAGAAAATTTTTAAATTAAACATTAGAAGCACCCCCAATTAGTTTGAAAAACAAAAATAACTGTTTTCAAAATGTGATATACTCAAATACTCAGCTCCTTCTACTGATTAGTTTTCTTTTAATGGTACATATAGAAAAGGATCATACATTATATGTGGAGAGCAAATTATCAACCCAGAAATCCAAAATGATCCACTGAAAAACTATTAAATATTTTTATAAGGCTATTATCAATTTACAGAGATGAATATTTCACTCTATGTATGTGTATTTATATCTATGAATTTTTTCACAGAACAAAATATTCCTATTTGTAATATGAACAAAATTTATGAAGTACTAGGGAGATTACTTACCAAGAAATATGCAAGATTTTTTAAAAAGGCAATGAAACTTTACAGAGGACATAAAAAGAAAAGTAGATATTGTAACTTCAAAGGTAGAAAGACTCAATACTGCAAGTATATGAACAGTGGTCAGATTTCATCAAAACACCAAGAAATGCTAGGTAATATATGACAAACATCCTTTAACAAGTATGCCACAGTTAAAAAAAAGTAAAGGAGATCCAAAGGGGGCAAAATGAAGAGATCATCAGAAGCCAGAGGTTAGCATGCTTTGAAGTCACAGCTACCCTTGGGATATTTGCTGACTTAACTTGCCTAAATGTCTGTCTCTTAATGGTATGGAAAAAACCCAAGAGACAAAAAGGTCAAGGATTGGCACTGATTCTCTTCACAAAATCGGAACTGTCCAAGGCCTACAGAGAAAGGAAAGGAAAAAGAGAAAGGAAAAAGATCCATCTGACCTCAAAGGAAAATGACAAGGAACATCTTTATCTTGCCTTAGACTTTCTATCAAATGAAAAAGTGCGATGGATAATTCATCATTACACAAGAGCCCCCATGCTTGCAAGAAACTGAAGAATTAGACTGGTTTCACAGGAACTGTAATTATTAAATGATACATGTAATATAAATGCTTGAAATATATGAAAATATAAAATCAAAACGAGAGGAAGAGAATATATAGAAGAAATTCCCTCTCTAAAGGAGAGGGAAAATAACAAAGTTCTAGAAATAAAGAAATAAAACAATATAATCAATTATATTAAGATCTTAAGAAAGTATCTTAGAGAGAAAATACAGATTACTTACAAAAGGAACAAAATGAGACAGATGGCAGACTTCTCAAGAGCAACAACAGAAGCCAGAAGACAGTGGAATAATATCTTCAGAGTGCTGAGAAAAAAATAATTGTCAGTATAGAGTTCTGTACCCACTTAAATCATCAGGTAAAAATAAAGGTGAAGCCAAACTATAAATGAAGAGTATTTACTAATAATTGGTCTTGCCTAATATATTTCATAATAAAAAAAATAATCCCAGTAGGAAGGTATGATGGAAGAGGAACAATGTGCAAATAAAAGGATAATCATGTGAATAAATCTACAACCAAATACTACCACAATAAAACAAAATTAATAAACAAAAGAAAACAAAAAAAAGAGAAAAAAACAAAAAAAAGAAAAAAAGAAAACAAAATTAATGCCCACTGTGGGGGGTTAAAGGAAACAACTAAAATATTAGTCAACAATAACATATCAGATAGGAGAGATTAATCAAAATGAAAGTATTCTAACATTCTTTATATTGTCCTGGGAGAAGGGAGATATTGTCACCTTTCTTAAGTATGTATTTGTTAAGTGACACAAGCAATAATGGTAATGATTAAATGACCAAAACAGAAATACTCCCAAAATATTTAAACTCATGTAATCATAAGTATATGTGATTCAATTTTTTATCTACAAATTGACACATATTTTTATGTAATGATTACCCAGTGTTCATCAAAGTGTAGAAAAAGAGTACAGTCACACACTGCTGGTACAATCCTGATAAGAATTTTGTGAAAATGAAATGTGTATTTGACATAGACATGTCAATTTCACATCTTTTTATAAATTTCTACTCATTGCCACAGCAGCCACCAATTCATTTCAAGGTAGATAGCAAACACCCTCTTCCAACAACACAAGAGAAGACTCTACACATGGACATAGCCAGATGGTTAAACACCAAAATCAGAATGATTAAATTCTTTGCAGACAAAGATGGAGAAGCTCTATACAGTGAGCAGAAACAAGACTGGGAGCCGACTGTGGCTCAGATCATGAACTCCTTATTGCCAAATTCAGACTTAAATTGAAGAAAGTGGGGAAAACCACTAGACCATTCAGGTATGACTATAATCAAATCCCTTATGATTGTACAGTAGAAGTGAGAAATAGATTTAAGGGACTAGATCTGATAGAC